AAAGTTTTCCTCCTTCCTCTTTCTTTCTTTCCCAATCATTTTTTCAACCCTAACTATACTAAACACCATTTTTACCTCAATAAATTTCTATATCTCTAACATTTTATGAAAACGAAAATTCAACTCACCTTTTCATCTACTCCGAATCTCTAGAGTCTAGAAGATAGCGATCCTAATTAATCAAATCTTTCATCCAACTAATTCAACAATTTTTCACATTTTTTTACATTTCGTTCGATTTTCTTCCTTAGAAAATTTCAGATACACATTAAATAGGTCATGAACATTCGAGATCAGATTCATCCCTTGAAGATTCAGCCGACAACTCAAAATAATCGCGGATGAGAAGACCAATTTGTAACACCAATTTGAAAAACCTCTCTCTCTCTCTCTCTCTCTCTCTTTCTTCCCCATTCTTTATTATTTCTTCCTCTAAAATTTTCATGATTAATTTATAATTTGAGTTTTTGATTTTGATTCTTCATGGATTTTAGGAGAACATGTAGGATCCTTCTTTCAAAATGTAGAAGAAATTGTTTTGTTTTAGTTTCTTTTATTAAGTTTGAAAATATTTTTTAAATATACAATTACTTCACTTTGATTTTGTTACTCTTGAATCCATCACTTTAAAAAATAATAATTAATGGGTATGTTTTTTTTTTTAAAAAAAATTAATCTGTTAGATATGTTCTAAATAAGTTTATTGAAAAATTATTTATTCATTAAATGCATTGTTAGGGTAAAAAATACCCCTTAATTTTGGTTTATTGTTTGACTTTACCCTCACCGTTAAAATGAAGTTAATTTTACCCTTCCCGTTACTAATTTCACCAAAATTTACCACTCATTAGACGAAATCCCCAAAATTAACCCGAATTTAAATAAAAAACCCTATTCCCTATTTTAACCCAATGACCCGACCCCATTTAGAATATGTCACAAAATAGTTGTGCCAGCTTTGAGCTCGCACAACAAAGCCATTAATGGTGATTAGGAGCCACAACTTCGACTATCGAAGCACGCCGCCAGTCCCCTTCCCATCTTCCCTTTTTATGGATTTTCTTTATATTGTTTGTTAGTTGTTCCAATTAACATTGATGACCTCCAACACCTCCATCACCGGAAAACAACATCAAACAATCAGACTTAACAACCCCCAAATCCGGCAAAACTATGAGCTTCAAGATCCGATGAATTGGAGTTCCGTTCCAAATCAACGTCGCTACTTCTCTTCTCCTTTCCCCGTTATCTCCAGCAACGAGCTTCAAGCTCTCAGACATTGCTTCTGCTCGATGTCAACTCTGGTGAAGCGGGAAATCCCCGGTCACTATTTAACTCCGGATCGGACCAAATTTGTAATTTTTCCTGCATTAGGCTTTATTTTTCGATAAAATTCACATCCTCTGGCTTATTTGTTGAGCTTTTGAACTATTTAATTCATTTTGGGACATTAATTTACCATTTTACACTGATTTTTTGAGATTAGGACCTCAACAATATCATTGTTGTACTTTGTTTGGTGTTCGTTTTTTAAACTATTTTTACTGCTTAATTCTCTATAGTTAGCTATATGATTTTTTATTTTTGTTTTGATCGAATAATTTGTGGCAATTTACAATATTTAGATAATTGGTAATATCCATTTATAAATAAGCAAGAGGGAATAGAATCAGTGTTTTGACCACCAAATCACAAGCACATTTTCTTTGAGACGAATAACTATTTTGTGACATTTTCTAAGAAGAAAAATCAGAGGTGAATGAAAGAGAGAGGCAGGAAAAACAATGGAAAATTTGGGAGAAAAGGAGATTATCTATTCAAAGAGAGAATGGGTAAATGGGTAAAGGAAATTTGGGAGAATGGGGTAAAAAGTAAAGGAAATTTGGGAGAATGGGTAAAATAGGGTTAATCGGGTTATTCTAAATGGGGTCAGGTCATTGGTTAAAATAGGAAATAGGGTTTTTTTTTTAAAATTCGGGTCAATTTGAGTCAGTTTTGGGGATTCCGTCTAATGAGGGGTAAATTTGGTGAAATTAGTAACGGAAGGGGTAAAATTAACTTCATTTTAACGGCGAGGGTAAAGTCAAACAATAAACCAAAGTTGAGGGGTATTTTTGACCCTTTGCCCTAATTTTTATTTCAAACATCCATCGAAAAAGTTTCAACAATGATAATGGTGAAAAATGTTGTATAGATAAATAAGAAAAAAGAGAAAGAAAAAAGAAAATTAGAAAAAAAACGGAAATTAGAAAAATAATAATAGGCAACTCACTCTCTCAAAGAGAGTGAAATACACTCTTCATGCCAACTCAGAGCACTTAAGGGTTATTTATTCCATTTTAAAGTAGTTCAGGGGGTAATAGAACTCCAGCGGAGAATAGGTGTGTAGTTGGAAATCCGATAATAGGTTGAGGGGTTATTTGGCTTATATATTGACCACAATTCTCAAATCTCAGGCCTCATGTAATGCAATCTATTGGCTAGTGAAAACTTTAATTGATTTTTATAAACTTTGTAATAAAATAAAATAAATAACAAAAGGAAAAAGAAAAATTGTGGACAATTTTTCGACACGTTACTTAAATTAGCCAACCTATAGAGTTTAGATAGGATCGAATTAACTCAGTATTACTTCCCTTTCTTCATTTTCACTTATCACGTTTTTCTTTTTTTAAAGCCAAATTTAGTTTAACATGTATTTTCTTATTATATTAATACGGAAGTACCACTCACTGTACTTTTTATATAGTTATCAAATATTTAATTTTAAAATATTAATTATTTTAATTTAATTTAGCTTCAATTATTAATCAAATTGATCCTCACCGGAAAAAAACGTCTGTCTTACACTCTTACTTAGACGCCACCCTTGTTAACAGCACTTCCTATTGAAAAATTATAGGGATAATTACGGTTGAATGTTTGAGAAATCCAACTCGATATTAATTCGAATCCACATTAAAGTTTGACTAAAGAGATTTATATTACAAATCCCACATTGAAGGGTTAAAACATGTTCTAACAAAGATAGCTTGTATCAAGTAGGGTGTGCATCGATTGGTTCGGTTCGATTTTTTGTATTATCGGTTCGGTTTATCGATTTTCAATTTTTTAAATACGTTAAATCAATAAGATATTTTTCTAAATCAATTTTTGGTTTATTAGTTTTGGTCCTTAAAGGCTAGATTTTTAGTTTGACCAATAAGAAAATGCTTATAAAATAAATATATGACTTCTCCAACAATTTGACACGACAAGACAATAATGTAACTTTACAAATGCTCATGAAATAGAAATAGTAATAGCTAACATGAAAAGAACTATACAAGTGTAGTACAAAGAGAAATTAAGAGGAATAGGGTTCTTACTTTAGGTTTTTGATGTTTTTGTATAATGTGAAGTTGTGAACTCAAAGTCGTTGTGAAGTATAAATTGAAGGACAAAGACAATAACTAGTAATATATTGAGATTAATATTTATGTACATGTAAAGTAGTAAATTAACATAGTTTTAATGGGTTATTGATTTACCCACTATTTGAAAACAAAAACTCAACCTGTAACACAATAATTTTTTTTATAAAACCATTAAAAATCGTTAACTCAATAACCATAAATCAATAGCATCTTTTCGATGCGGTTTATCCGTCGGCTCAATTTTCGCATATCCTTAATATTAGGAGGATTCGAATTTGATAAAAAATAAAATGAATACTTATCACTCTACCACCGTCATTATTAGTTAATGATGGACACTATTAGGTTGAGAGCAAATGCTTGTGATTCATGAACAGACCACTTGATGGCTTGCAACTTGCAAGTTGTCTTAGGATTCCATTAATATAAACATACCAATCATATTTTGCTACATGTATTTATACAGACTTACTGACATTGTTGTTAAATGATATTAATATTATCATGTAAAATGACCAAAAAAAAAAAGGTATATAGTAACAAATTATATCATCTAAATTTATAGAGGAAAGTTGAGATGTGGATGAAAGGAGAGGTTACAAAAATCAAGATTTGTCCCAAATATTCTCTCTGTACAATAGCTAAAAGTTAGATGTCATCCACAGCAAGGAGCTGGCATTCCTTAATTACCCTGTCGGCAATTCCAATAGGACAGTGTGTTCGAGCCCCACGTCGGTGGAAATACAATTCGTTGTTTTGATTTACTTTTAAATGGACTAGTTTTTACATAGTGTTTTCTCAAGTTAAATTTTATCAAAATTATCTGATCAAGATTATCTCAGTTACCCATCTTATATTGTAAAATTCTAGGCATGATCTCTTCCAAAAATCGAATGAAATAAAGTGATTTCAAGGACAAATTCATCAATATACTGCGATTAGATCTAGGAAGAACTAGACATAAAAAGTAACTCTCTCATATGAGACAAATGGTGCTGGGGTGTCAAAAATGAGCTCAAACTTATATCATCCGTCCAATTTGTCTAGAATTTTATGAGTTGGGCTCAAGATATGTTGAATTGAATTCAATCTCAACTTATTCAAGTCTTAATCCATTTAAAAAGAATCTTTAACTGTGTCTAATTTAATCTCCAATTTCAATCCATTTTTAGACTCTTTATATACATTGATGTAATGTATGTTTCTATATTGAAGATATGAATTACCCATTTATAACTTTTTATTTTATTTTTTTGAAATGAAATTCTAATTGTAGTTATAAAAGTTGTAAATAACAATATGTTAAAATTATTAAGATTAAGCAACTCAAATTGTGCGGGTCATGACCCAACCCAATTTTTAACCCATTTGAGCCTAAAGTAAATTTTAACAAGTGATGACTCAACCTAATTTTTATTTCAACACATTTTAATATCTCTAATTTCAATCAAACCCGCTCATTTGACACTCTAGATGCCACAAATGAGTGCCACATTATATGAATAGGGTTGTATCTCTTTATAGGTGAAACGTGTAGAACTAGTTTCTTGTCCTTGCTTTCTTAAAGGAAAAAAACTCAATATATACACCAATAAAAAGAACAACTTCTATTTGCACTAGGCTTTTTTACATTCTTGAATTGGATACATCACACCTCCAATCAATTTTTATTACTACAAGGCATAATAAATAAGATATTTATCCCTCCCATTAGTACAATATCATCCTAGTTAAGTAACAAGCCACATCTTGTATGATACATGTACTACAACCTACGACTTGTTATTGATCCATCTGGACCACTTAGTGAAATTGAAAGCCACATCACTTTCAACATCATTACTTATTTTTATTAAAATAATATATATCTACACCAAGATTCCATTATTATTTGACATTTGAATATTCTTCACATGCACCCTTGTCCTTATTAGTTGCTTCCCAATAAATATGACAATTATTATTGATACCAATCAATAATATAATCATTAATCAACAAGTTTAGTACGTCCATTCTTGAGGTAGTTGCATCTCTTGGTCATTTACCACACTTGTTTGGTCTTCTGAATGTTCATTAACCAAATTATCTGTTTCATACTCTGCATTTGCAAACAAATCAATTACCATAAATGATTTTAAAAAAAAAAATTAAGATTCAAGCATCAATATTTTAATCAACCAAATCTAAGAGATCATGCATCAATATTTAATGTTTCTAACCAAACAGATCATCTAATCTCGAAAATATCAATATTAATGATACAAACGTGCACAACACTTGAGTTCTAATCCAGATCATTCAATATCTTCAATTCAATTTACTGGGAAACGTAGTCAAATATGCTATGAAAATTACTCACATCTGTTCATTTTTACTGTCTACTTTTACTTTTCACATATCAAGAGAAAAACATTTTTTTTCTTCATATTTACTTTAAACGTTAATTACTTTGTATTTCTCAAATTATTTTCCAACATCTAAGACCTCATATTAATCATTGTTTCTTAAAGCATGTGCAAAGTCTAAAATGAACAAGTAAAAATTAACGAAGAGAGTAAATCCATTTTTCACGAACAATTATATGTACTTTATCTTTTAATTGATCTGATAATGTAAAAAATATTTTGCGAGATTGTATAAAGATATTAAACCAATTTATGCTTACCATTTTTGGGAAAGTGAGTGGGAGAGACAGCACATGTGTTTGATTGAGACAAAGCATCCATATGGTTGTAGTGTTGTTGCAAAGCTTGTAATACTCTTGCTGGTATTAGAACCGTTGAACTTCCTGTCCATTTGTCATCAATAAAGTATTTTCCATGTTAGTTCTTGGATTGTTAAACTATAATTTTGCATATTCTGCAAACAATTAACCTAATTGTCATCTACTTTTTAAATTAATTAAAAAGGACAATGATGATACTTTTCTTGTTATCATGATTATTAACTGTTTTATCACTTAATATTTATGTATTATGTTAACTTTTAATTGAAGGTTACAAGAAACAACAACATTAATTTGACCCCACAAGTAAGATATGAAAAGGGTAGAGGCTATGTTGATCTTACACATACCTTATGAGGTAGAGAAACTATTTCTAACAAATACTCGACCCAAGAAAAATATTTCAAAACCGATTTGAAAAATTCAAAAGAAACTCATGAAAATACAAAGAAAAGCCGAATATGTTTGCAGTAAAAATAAGTAAGATAATCAAAACAAAAGAACAACGATAAATTGAAAGTTATGAGTATTAATTATTCGGTCAAATATCACAAGGACCAAAAATTAGAATTTATAAATACTTCAAAAGGATTAAAAGTGATATTGTCCCAATAATTTCGAAAAGTTCCCTTAGAGAACGGACTAGAAACCATATTTTTTTACAAATAATGATACCTTTTTCTTCCTAGCTACTATATGGACCCCCCAACTAACACCCACTCAGATTGATAGCTTAACCAAAACTAGAAAAGGCAATTTTATTTTGACAAAATGAAATATATTAAAATACTAAAAATAAAAACCACTACAGTCTAGGACATTCTACCAATATCTTTTTCGTAATTAATTTCCCTTTGCAAAGTATATAATTTAATTAAATTTTTTGTGGTTTTAACTTTCTTTTAAACTCAACTCAACTACTCAAGTAGATATTCAATAAAAAATGTGATAAACCAAGAAGAGGTTAGAGCATGAATAAAAAATATCCCTTGAAAAGAACAACATACTAATCTCACCAAATGGCTACGGAGAAGTCGATAGAATATATACAAACTTTATTTCTATTTTTATAAAATAAAAAAAATAATTTTAATAAACTCTCTATTAAAAAAATAAAAAAATAAAATCGAAGCGAATAAAATAATATCTTGGAAAGGAAACAGTAAAAAAATAGCTCAATTATTGTTTATGACAAAAGGAGGAGTTATGATAAGCATCAGGAGCACTATGTGGTATGAAATACTCAAAAACAATTCAGATAAGAGTTATCATATGATGACGTACTTATTATAAAAATGTCTCTATCATAATTCATATTTATAAAACAAAAAAAAAAACAAAAAAACATAAATTGACAATCGTGGTGGGGTAGTAATATTGATAATATATTATACGACTAAATATAGAGTCAGTTGTTGTCTAGCGTGGATGCCTTAAACTTTAGCAACTATAATTGATTAATCCCACTATTTCAAGATTCTCATGTAAATACATTGGCTAATTCAGATTCAAATACAGATTCCTTGGATAAGAAAATTAATATTAGTCTTTTCATTTAATAGAATCAATTTAGAATCTATAATTGAGGTTACTTACAGTGTACTCATTTAATTAAAGTCATTTTCACTTATCTATTGTGGTCATTTAATGTGAATTATATGTAAGATTTAAAGTACTAAAAACGTTTAATTATATTACTCTATTCGCAGTACCTATCGGCTACCACAAAAGAACAGCGAATGAAATAGTACCTCGCATAAATAAATCATTATAATCCAAATTCCATTTTACACTTTGCTGTTTTATTTTATGATGATTAATCTAAAATTAAGTTTTTTATGAATTCAATCTTAACGACATGTTATTATAGTCGTAGCACTCTAATTTTAATGTTCAAAATCATAAGATTTTTTTTAAAATCCTTTAAATTATGTATTTACTCAAAAAACATCACATAAATTGAAACGGGAGGAATACTTATTATTAAAGATTAATTTGATTATTTCGTATCTAAACTAGGAATTAACTTGATTTGTTTCTTAAAATAAAATTTGATTTTTACAAACTTTACTAGTCTCGTTACAGGATTTTTACAAACTATACTAGTTTCGTTACAAGATATATATACTATTTATTTATGAGTCTCATTTATTTATTATTTAAGTTCTAAGATAAACAAAATGTTATGCTTTACTTTGTAAAATCACTATAGATAAGAAAATATTTAACTTATACTAATAAGGATATATCTAAGTTATCAATATGAAAAAGGTGATTTTAAGATTGAACGGATGGAATAAAATCCTGCCTAACATTTTTCTAAGTTATTTAAAATATTATGATAGATAATTAAGGTAAGGGGTTGTTTGGTAGCTTGTTCGGAGTAAGTTATTCATTTATAAAATTAATACTATATTTGATTTGTCATTTAAAAACCTGATAACTAATATATGTATAAGTTCTTAATAGAAACTGAAATAACTAAATCCTACATATCTGAATAAAATAACTCTACCCACCTATAAAACGACTCCTAAAGGTGTGATGGGATAGTAGCTACTAAGTAGTAACTAGTAAGTTTTCTAATACAACTTTTAAGTTCGAGTTCTGAGAATGAAATTGTATTTAAATAGAGAGTGTCTTGCAATTTTTATCTTTAAGATAAAAAATTTCTACACGAATTTAAGTTAGTCAGATTCCAAAACTAGTACTGTGTTGGAAAAAATAAAATAAAATAAATAGGTCCAACAATATATACTGGAATCTAACCAGCAAATGAAGGCAATCCATGTGGGCAACCTGAAAAATTCATTTCTGATATTGATAGGTTTCTTGATCCAGTAAAAATTGTAGGCGGACAAAGTCATAACGCAACTCAACTGATTGAACCACAAATGGGGTCCTCTTTAGCCCCATTTTGGTTGGACTTTATAATCACAATTTTTATTTAATAATTAAACAGATAAAAAAAATTGAAAAAGTTGCAGTAATTGATTCATTGGAGTAGTAAACATACCAGATTTCTTCTTTTTTGGTTCTGTTGTTGCAGTAGGAAGAGGATTGGGATTATTAATTGTGCGAGGCAAGAAAACTCCAGTTCCAGATGACCCGTTTATCGACCCAGATCCACCAAGAAATATGGCCCTAATGCCTGCTCCACTACCCTGTACTGGATGTTGAGAATGAAGATGATGAATCTTATCTCCACTTTGGCCATGCCCACCAACTGTTTGTTTTTTAGTCAAACTACTCTGTGTGTTGTTTTTTTCAGTTTTGAGTTGCTGAACTGACTCACTAGTTGTCCCCTTCACTCTTTTTCCTCTTGAATTAGAGGGCTTGTGTTTTGTTGTTGTTGGTTGGTCTTTCAAATGGTACACCTACACATAATTAAGTTAGATGGTGAAGAGTTATCAAGAAACAACTTGTTTAAACTTCAAATTCTTACTTGAATGGGTCTCTTCAAATCATCACTAGAGTAAAATACAGTATTAGAATTCTTCATTTGATGATTCTCAGAGTCTGCTACAGGCTTAACATATGTGCCTAAAGATTCTTGATTATAGTAACATATCTCCATGGAATTGTAATTTGACCAATTCCCAGCGAACACATATGTGTTTGATGTCTGAAAAAGAAAACCAAATTCATTAAAACCAATAAAAAGGGTAAAAGTTGCAATCTTTGAGAAGATGTAGTTAACCTGGACAGTATTAGGAGTAGAATTGAGGACTCTGTTTTCATCATTTTCATCTTCTTCTTCGTCATCGTCTTTAAGCATATAATCAGCCATTTGACGAGTCAATTGAGCAATGAAATCTTCATCTTCTTCGCTTTCAGTTTCATCAGTTTCTGTTGAGCCAAGTTCAGACCCAAAAGGGCTGCTTAAACCAGAGGAAGATGAGTGTTCTGACAACCCATAAGTACCAAAAATCGAATCATTCCCCCAATTAACTTTCACTTTCTTCAACCCGTCAGTGCTCTGTTCCTCACAGCCAGTGCCTGTATAGTTAAAATCTTGAACCTTCTTCTTCTGTTTCTGTTCTTCCATGGCAAAACCATGAGTTGGAAACAACTTGTGAGGAGGAGGAAAACATTTGTCTTCTTTCCCACGTAACACAGAAGAATAAGATGCCATCATTATAAGCTTAGTTACACACTATGTGAAGTTGTTGAATTTTGCCGTTTGAGAGGAAAGACAGCAAAAAAGATGCAATTTTTGGGAAAGGACGAGTTGGGGGGCTATCAGGTTGAACTTGGTCTTAATATAAGGGCTAAAAGAAGAGGCGCGAGTGTTAGGGTTTAGTGGTTGGACAGTACATTTGTCTGGCCACGTTATTCAACTGCCACTTGTTGGGTACTAATTACATCAAAGATTAATTTTTAATTGGGGTCTGAGCTAAAGTTTTAATTGTAAATTATGCGATAACTTAGACTTGCTTAAGTGGTTGAATAACTCCAATGTCAATCCACATGTTAATGGTTTGGGTCATGCCGAAGGATACGCAGAAACACAATTAGTTCTCTTACGAAAAAATGATGATTTTTTTAAATGAGTTTTGGGACAACTTAGACTTGCTTAAGTGGTTAAGCAACTTCACTATCAATTGTTAGTTTAAGGGTTTAAGTCACACTGAAGGATAAACGGAAACACAATTGATCCTCTTGGGAAAAAAAAAGGGCAGAACTTTTTTTTTTTTAACTCTAAGTGAACGATTTTTTTTAAAATTAAAAGTTATAAACTTAAAATTCTGAATTCGAAGAGCGGATGCCCTTTCGTAAAAGGGCATCTTTTTATGGTTGTATTATTGTTGTAGTTTGTTATCCTAACATAATGGCTACTAAAGAATTACAGATGGTTATGGTTAGAGTGGTTTGGAGTGTCATACCTGTATGGTTGACTCATTGAGTTGGTAACCAATTCCCACTCTCCTAATGTTTTAAACCCAAAGGGCAAGAAAAGAGGAGAAGACAGAGAAACAAATGTTTTATTCAACTTTTCTTCTCCTTTTATTTGGCTGTGTTTGGCACGAGGGCTAACTTTTGACTTGCACCATGTGTAATGAGAGGAAAAATTGTGTAACACATGTTTCAACAATGAGTTTATGTTTCATGCATGTACTTTGTAGAAATCAAGATAAGGAGGACAACTTAATAACGTAACGGAAAAATCAATATTACGAAATCAAATTTGATGGGAGCTCTATGAAACTATTCCTTAATTATCATACTAGTAATCTAAGAAAATGAATTAAAATTTTAACTTATTAAATTAAACCCCTTTTCACTTGTATTAAAAATTTAACTCAATCTTCGTACATGTTTATATGTAGAACTGTAAAAGTTATTCACTTAGTCAAAAGATAATTCATGTTTGATCATTCTTGGAATCTTAGTGGTCCAATAAAACTCCGAAGTTTTAACTAACGACGCATCATACGGCACTTTGTTATAGCGGCTGACCTAATTTATAAGTTATATTATTCACGGACGGTAATTCTGTAACTTTTGTGCATACTTTTTTTACAAAATTATATAATTTTGATAAATATTTAATTATTACATATATTTTCTATGTCCCTACTTACTTGTTTATTTTTTTCTTTTTATTTGTTCATTTTGACAAATCAAGAAAAGATAAAATATTTTTACATAGTATACCTTCAATTAATTACTTTGAAAAAGACAGAACTTCTTGAAAATCTTAATTTTTTAATTCATCTACTTCATAATTAATAGGGGTAAAATGATAAACTCATTATGTCAATTATTGTTTTCTTAATTGGTGTGTCAATTCAAAGGTGGACAAGTAATTAGGGACAAAAGAAATATTAATTTATAACCAGGGGCATAGCTACCTTCGTTGGAAAATTACACTGTATTTTTAAGCAAAATGATATTTTAAATGGTTAAATAACACATTTTGGACATCCTTGAAAAAACAATAAAGTTTCTTAGCTCAGTGGTTTTAGTCGTGCGCGGGTTCAAATCCCTCAAATATGTTATTTAACTTTTGATTTATTTTTCTTTTCATTAAAATTTTAAAGTAATTATTTAATTTAAAGTTGATAAGCAAATTCTATTTATTTATTTATTTCATAAAACTACTAAAAGTGAAAAGGCTCCATATAGAATTTCTTTTAATATAACTCGTTTGATTCTACTCTTTATTTTTCATTTCTTGTTGTTAGTCATTAGAAGTTCGTGAAATCTTGAAGCATAAAAGTGATTTCATCTAAACTGAATTTTCTCTCTTTTTTTTCTTTGTCTGTTCACTTTCTATCAAATAAACGTGACCATTAAAGCTAAATATTATCTAGTTTGATTTTAAAATTTTTGATATATTTTTTAATTAAAGAAATTAATCATTAATGTTACGTAGTTTGATTTACAAAATTTAAGTGCACTCATTCATATAATTATTTTTATTAGCTATTAAATTTTTGGATATCCTTCATAAAAATTTTGGCTACGCCACTATTTATAACTATTATAAAAACTCATAAATTTCAAATCTTAAATCCTCTTTGACGATGAAGAAAAAGCCCCGTGAAGGAGTATATTTTTTTATTGTCGTGTTGAGAAAAGTTTATGGTGGGAATCACAAACTTTAAAAGCTAAAATCCACTAGCATTTGTTGCCATGGCTATTCACCAGCTGTTGTACTGTCAACAAAGGATTAGTTCAAGCTTTGTTTTAACAAAAACAAAAGGATTAGTTCAATAATCAAAACTAACCCCCAAAATAAAACTAGTCATGCATTTAAAAAAAATGCAATTCTTGTACACATTCATAAGGGTCATTACATAAGTTAAAAAAAGAGTTAATGAAAGTTAAAGCCAAATTATTTAAACATATTTTTGTAATAACATGCTCATAGATCTAAAAGGAAGCAAATACAGAAGTAGTTGTCTCGTGGGCAAAACTCAAAACAGAGAACCAACCGACAATAAAAAATGACTCTTATTTAAGGAGTCGGCCGTTAGATGGAAAATGAAACACTTGCCGACGTTGGCCCAATGATTATATCACGGTGTCAAGATTTTAAGTTTATGGGTTCGAAAAGATAAGAAGGTCAATAACTATGGTGGATGATTCATAGATAATCGAGTTTAAATTTTTCTTCCTAGTTATATTTATTCGAAACAATCTTTCTGTTTTACATGGTAGAGTTATGATTTGCGTATAACCTATCTTCTTCAGATTTCACATATGAAATTACTCTAAGAATATTATTATTATTATTATTATTATATTAGATGTTGGATAAATTATTTATACATATTAAAAAAAATTTAAATATATATATAATATTTGAACTAAAATTATTGAATTCTACTGAATCCATTATGGTGGCTCTGCCTCTACAATTATAGCATATTGTGAGCTTTAATCCAACTTAGATTTTAAAAAAAAGGTTACAGTGTTAACGTCAAGTCTTCAAGCCAATAAATACATAATACAAGTTCATATATACTAATATTTTTAATATGTAATTATAATTATATTAATATATATTGTCACTTTATACAATTACTTAATTATAGAAAATTTCCATGATTTATTAATATAAACATTTGTTAGGGTAACTATTTACTATCTAACTAAAACATATATTTTCAGGTCAATTTTGGGGGTTTTATTAAATTCCTTACTTTCGACTCAAAATATACATATGTATTTGGAAAAAAAATAAAACAATTTATATCTATAAAACAAGGTCACATTTGTTGATATATAAATCTAGTACTAGTATAGATTTACGTGTTAAAATCATTTAACTTTTGTGTTTAACAAGTTAACTTAAAGTAGTATGATTCTTAAAATTTATTGTACCTTTTAGCTGATTGTTAGACCTGTCTTTTTCCAATTCATGTACATACATTTATCTATTATCTTGTGTGTATTAAACAATTTTTTTAAGCCTATCTTAACGTCAACTTACTTCTACATGTCAATTCATGTTTAATAATGACATGGATAGAGTACTGCAATTTGAGTACTTTCAATTTCCTGTGTTATATTGCAAATAGATTACATTACAACCAATGATTTTCTTAATATTTTGTGTCAACATTATATTATATTGTCTTACACCCCCAAATGATATACTCCATCTACTTCTTATTTAATCGCAATATTTGACTGGGTATTCAAGGTATTAGTTTAACTTATACATATTTTATGTGTCTTAAGACTCTCGGGGGACGTTTGATATATAGCTAGTTTAAAAATACGTTATGTAAGTACTAAATTTTGCATAAAATATATCATATTTGATAGTTGGTTAGGAGGTAAGTTATTCATGTTTAAAATTAATATAGTATTTTGTTTTCAAGTATTAGGAATTCACATAACTAATCTATACATATTGAATAAGTTATGAGGAAATTTATGTACTATTTTATTCAAAATAGAAACTGGAATAAGTTTTAATACATAAATAACTAATACATGCGTAACTCTAATTCTCTGACCAACAACCAAACGAATCCAAAAGAATAGTAGTCTTACTATTTTCATTCACTTAATTAAGTGGTTTCTCTAAAGTTTGTTTGTTTTATCAAAGGTAGAATAACGTGCAAGGCAACTCCGATCTATATATATATATATATATATATATATATATATATATATATATATATATATATATATATATATATATATATATATATATATATATATATATATATATATATATATATATATATATATATATATATATATATATATATATATATATATATATATATATATATATATATATATATATATATATATATATATATATATATATATATATATATATATATATATATATATATATATATATATATATATATATATATATATATATATATATATATATATATATATATATATATATATATATATATATATATATATATATATATATATATATATATATATATATATATATATATATATATATATATATATATATATATATATATATATATATATATATATATATATATATATATATATATATATATATATATATATATATATATATATATATATATATATATATATATATATATATATATATATATATATATATATATATATATATATATATATATATATATATATATATATATATATATATATATATATATATATATATATATATATATATATATATATATATATATATATATATATATATATATATATATATATATATATATATATATATATATA